AGGCGGAATGCCGCCAAACCAACAAACCACAACAAGGCGGAATGCCGCCAAACAAACAAAAACAGAGGTGAAAACAATTTCGCGAAAACAGATGCGCAGACTCAAAAAAATTGATATCGGCTTCCAACTTAAAAAACAAAGATTTTATATTAAAAACACTAGAATTAGGTCCGGGGCATCAAATTTGTGCAGCCTGAGAAAAAGTATTGAATTTCAGACGCTTTGGACATAACTTCCGTAAGTTCGATAACTATTTTGGACATAACTTCCGACAACTCTTATAACTAAGTTATAAGTAGCCTAACTTTCGGATAGAACTTAAGGAACTTAACCAAGTTAACAAAGTTAAAACCATACTTATCCAAGCTAAAACCATACTTAAGATACTTATAACTTCTCTAACTAGGGGGGCCCCTCACTGGGCCAAGGAAAAACAACCATGGGTCGAAGCTGGGCTTTCTGACGCCGTGTTGCCGTTGACTGTGTGCGCCAACCGGTTTCGCTCCTGCAACGGTTGCGAGGGTTGAAGGAGAAGCACAAAGGACACAAAGAAGGATCCTCCAATGCTTCCGGTTCAGTGCATTGTTGTTGTTTGCTTCCGCTCGCCTTGTTTGACAACGAGTTTGGGTGGTATGCCCAAGGAGCCTCAGCAGCAAATAAAACACTTGAGCGCTACCCTCTCCGGAAAAAAATGTGCTGTGGCCCTGACTTGCCCATCTGCGAGCCACGATGCTCGCGAGGGAGGCCGCGTGGAGGCAGGGGCCAAACCGTTGCGGCGCACTCTGGTTTGGCGCATGAAGCTCCTGCCCGCGGTAACAGGGTACAAGAGCTCGGCGATTGCGGCGGTGACAAAGAAGTCGAACCGCCGTGCAAACCTGGACTGGCAAAATTCTGGTCTGTGTTCTGGCACATGGACCAACTTCAGTCCTGGTATGTGTTCTGGCATGTATTGGAACATTTGTTCTGCCATCAAAGAAATTCTGGCATTCAAACGGGCGCAAAATCAGGCTCTTATCTGGTATATACTCGGGGTATCCCTGGTGATAGATGTGTTGCATGCTTAACCGGGAATTCTAAAGAGAAATTGTGTCTATGAAGTGACTTGTAAGTGATTTAAAAAAACCTTTATGAAAAGGGAATCCAGGTGTTACCACGAAATAGCACCCCTGACGCACGCGCAAAAAAAAAACACGCAATCCCCACAAGCTGCCGCAACCTGGTGTGTGAATCAGCTTCGGGGGCGTGCCTTGTGTTGCGAAGCCATGGACGGCACCTGTGGCAGAACCGCGGTTCCGGCGGAACACAAATGAATGCAACGACATTGAGTGCAAAGCCACGTTCGGCCTCGAAGCTCCAAATAGTCCACGGGCGTGCGAACTGACTACAGCAAGCTTTCAATCGCCAAAGGCAAGTCTGACTGTAGGAAGGCATGTCCGACTGTAGGAGCTGGTGGGTGGACAAGTTTTCGATGTCAAGCGCTTTTCTATCTTGCTCAAACTGAAAGGGGCCAATGGCCTCCTTTGTTCGTCCATGGCTACAATACACCAGGAATGCAGTGCACTGTGACGCCACAAGTATTGCGCCTGCGCTTTGCACACATCGGATGAGGAAAGCCAAATGCATGTCAATGTGGGGACGAAGGGTCGGATACACGGCGCTAAAAGAAAACATCCAGCTGCCGCCCCCCCAGTGTCCCACTTTCAGAATGCAATGCTGTAGGGTGGGAAGTTCTGGTTCGTGGACGGGGTGTGGCTTTCCCACGCTATTATGCACCAGGAAGGCAGTGCACAGTGGCGCCACTGGCGCACATTGGATGGGAAAAGCCTGATGGTCAACTGGAGGATGAAACACTGCATACCCGGTGGTTTATGGACACATCCAGCTTGTGCCCCTTCTAACCCAACAGACTAATGAAAGAAAAGACTTGAGAACATCAATGGATCAATATTAAAGATCTCCCATGACCTCCAATGGAAGCTTAGTGGGAGGCTAGTGTGGTAGAGTTGTAAACATCAAAATAACTAAATATAAATACGGTTTACTCACAAACTTAAATATGTTGCTTTGACCCGTCCCAGTGCATGAATCTTGGTCAAAATCCTACCTCTTCCCTGGTTGGTGTGCCTAAGGGCTACAGGTTACGTACTGCACACGAAAAAAACCGACCGGGCATCGGTTTTGGTGACACCTACCGAACTACCGCGACCTTCCCACCAGATCCATTGGGATGACCCCATACCATCCATGATCCACTGACTCTACCTGACCCCCTAATAGCCTCTTTCCAGAGGAATCGACCGAACTGTCCAGCTGTTCTTGTTTAGTGGGGTGTCCCCGATTCCCCCCCCCAAACAAGGTTAAAGGTTATAGACATTTTATCCACATGTTCATGGGTGGGAAAAAGGAACTCCTCCATGATCGGTTCGTTTCTAATCTATAATCCCCCCCCACCGCGTCAGGGCTGCGATCGAGATGCCAAGTTTTGAGGATCAACCTCAGCAAAGAAAGAGATGTCTCGCTAACGCAGGACGGACTTGCTGCGTTCGTCTTGGATGTGATTCATGGTGATTCGGACGCCGGGAAAAGAGTAAAGTGTTGTTGTTTGGAAACAGCAGTAGTTTGGCATACTTAGGAAAATGCAGGTATTCCCCATGCCGATTCACCCAGTTCGGGAAAATATCACCTGATCTGCAATCACCTTCTCACAAGGTACGACTGGAGTCCCTATAGGGATTAAACTGCCAAGCTGCAGGATCCAATGAGAACAAAGGCTCCCTGCAGGCGGTGCGTCGCACCTGGAGTGGATGGATGGAGATGGATCATGCGCAAAAATGAGGACTTCGCCCTCCGCCCTCACGCGCCTTGCCATTTGAGGCTTCAAATTAGCAAACATATAGCTCTATAGCTTCATCTATACACCACCCAGCTGTAGTACAATGGAAAAGAACTATCCTTGACTCATCCTCATCCACGATCCCACAAAAAGAAGAAGACTCAATTAAACACACAATATCTTCTGACCAGAAAAACAACACATCGACAAAAACACAAAGCAAAAAAACACAATAAATAAAACAACACATCTAATACAATATACTAATACAATATAGCCTCCAGATCCAACAAACATACTCTAAAATAGATCTGCCTTGAGTGCGAGCATGAGGTACTCCAAATTCACCGACGCTGAAGGCTCCAAGGTCGAGGCGATCCGCACCTTAGACGAGCAGCGATCGAGGCGTACGGTGGGTCGTCCGGTGTGTTCCAAAGGGGCACCAAGTAGGGTTGGAAGCACCCAAGCTGAATGAAGCATGTTAAGGCCACTATAGACTACTATGCTACACATATCTACACATAGTTCTTGACTTTTCAGAAAGGCTGCAATTAGGTTGGAAGGAGCACAAGACTGAAGCTTACTAGGCTAGAATGCTTACTTTTCAGAAGTTCAATGTGAACTAGCTGAGGTAAACTTAAAGACACCAAAAGCAATGAGCCTCTTCTCCCTTACATGTCAACATTGTGCTGAGGTCTGAGATCAGACCTGCCGCTTGGAGTGTCTTTCCTGTAGTCCCTCCTGCTTTTGGAGCAAACAATTCAACATGGTCCTGACAAATTCAATATGATTCATACAAAGGGATGCCAAGAACACTCCTTTCGTTTTGTCCTGATCCATCTTCATATCTACTCGTCATGATTGGTCCTGTTCCTTTGAACCTCTTTCTGGCAAAACAATGGATAAAGAAGCTAAAGCCTGCGTCATAAATCACAAGGAAACTTCCAAGACCATTTGGACAATGGTTGACCTTGTATTGTAGTATCTTGTGAAACATAAACAAACCACAAAGCAAAGTCCCTCTGGCAGCTAAGTATTCCGCGCCCAACACCTCCTCCAAGCTTCAACAGCACCAACCTGAGCTAGTCCCAGGCACCGTGCGAGACGCCTCATCCAGAACCAAGCCTCAGTGTGTGGGAGTGACGAACATCGTCATGGACAAATCAAGTATAGTGAATTAGGTGATCATCCAGGACGAGAACCATGTCTTCCATGTCTTCGGTGCACACCACCGCTTGCGAGCTTTTTCGCATCCACTTACTTCCAAGTCGTTCAAAGCCCGGTCCCAAAGTACACAACTGCTCAGGGTTCCTTCCTTCGAGTCTCTCGGCGCCGGGGATTCGCGGCGCCATGAATCGTATGAACCTGACTCCCTCACTGGACAACAGAAAATGACCAACTGTCCACCTTGTGATCGCATGTGGTGACCTGCATGTGATCCACAACTTGCCGAAACTGTCACTGGGGCCTCTGGATACACACACGGGACCCAAGTGGCTGCAAAGGCCCTGTGGCACTGGTTCGCAGCCCAGCTTGGCAGCGATGATGCTGTTCTTGGGCACCTCGCGCGGTTCCGCGAGCACGCGTGAGCCGTGCATGCTGCGTGGTGAGTTTCTCTGTCTATGGATGTGCGGGGCTCCTATACCTGGGCAGCAGAAATCAAGGACATGAATTGGAAGGAATAGCTGAATAGGACCCCCCCTCGCTCAAAGAAGAACAAATACATCCACAAACGCACCAAGAACCACCTGCATGAAGTGCAGGTTTGTTGGAAGGGGACTAAGGGGACAAAGGAACCTGAACCCCAAAAACAATATCTGTTGTTCTGGTTCCTCGTGATCATTGTGTCCTTCATTTGGAACAATAAAACCCATACCCTAGGGCTCCCAGGACCTTCTTGGAAGGTGGGACTGGGGTGGGTTTGGACCTTGTAAGGAGGTACCTGGAGCCCTAGGGATCATATACAATATACACCTCTCTTTCTTCACGTCTTGTGGGCTCAAAGAGGCCCTATCTATCACATCCTATCGCCCTATCGCAATGAATCCCTGTGTTTCCAGAGTGGCGTCACGCAGTGGATCCACACCGGGTGTCACCGAGGCCATGAACACCGAGGCCAGGTGACAAGAAACCTGAACATGGTCAACAGCTACCACGGTGGACAGGGGCGGACAGGGGTGCCATGACACACAGCCAGTTGCTTCCCATCTACTCCCGACTGTTGTCAGCAGTATGTGTTGTCACCCAAGCCACGCTCTCGTGGCGCCATCCAATCTGATATTCGAGGCGGTTCTCCAACTTCTTCTGCCTGGACCATGGCATGCGGCGTCACCATTTCTTGGCAATGCAAAGCCAAACAAACACAAACATGCCAGCACCATGGAAAGGGTGGTTATTGGATGGTAATAGTAGTAATAGACCACCCTTTCCGTGGTGCTGGTGGTTGTCCAGGCTCTGTACATTCCAACTTGCTTGGGACTGGAGTATCCTGCAAATACACGTCAGGCAAATCTGGAACGAAGAACCAACAACAGGAGCAGTTAACATCTGAGATAAGGAGGAGTATCCCGTGAATCAAGAGACTGTCAGTTGATCTGAAGGAAACAGAACTAACAAAAGGCAAACAGCACGAGTGATTGACATCGCTGGGTTTTCGTTTTGCCCACAACATACGGTTTAAAAGGCCAAGTTTAAGGATGTTTAAGGCTAAGGCAACAATGCTTCAATGGTTTCCCTGGAATGCCCTGGAATATGATTGACTTGCCTCTTGTTTTCCACCCAAACTTCTGGTTACATTGGCAGTCCATATATGATTTGCTGACTCACTCTCGCTAGAATCCAACCCTCAAGCTGGATATGACCAAATCGCTCAGCGAGTGTGGTAGGATCCAAAGAAAAAAAACAGGGAGAACTCACGAGAATCCAGATTTGTATTTGTTTTGCCAGTGTCCGGTCGAAGCAGCATCTCATGACAAAGCATCTTCAACGTAAAAGGGAAAGAATTTGCAACAAAGCAACCCACAAGTGCTCACAAACAAGAAGTGCAAAAATACCTTTGCTCCGGAAAAAAAATAAAGAATCCTTCACTGCTTGAGATGTCTCCATGTTCCGGTCCTTGGTTTTTGTTGAAGTAGCGAGTTAGCTGTTCTTACATCATGTTGATGCAAGTTGTGCAGGAATCTATCTGCTTGCCTGGTCTACGGATGTGTAAGGAATTGTGATGCCAAATTTTGAATGAAGCCTTTTGCTGTTGAATGCTTTTGATCTTCTGTCAACACAGAATTGAACGGTCCACTGTCTCAAAACGCTCTTGGTGGTTGCGACCACTAGCACTAGGAAACAACAAAGAACACAACCCCACCAGCAACATGAAGCAGGCAGCCAACCACACTAACACTTAAATAAGTACACACACACTTACAAAACATGCACGTACGATGTACTAGTACGGTCTGAATGCTCAAGCCTGGACTGTAAACGAAACCTGAAGGCCAAAAACTGCCTATGATTCCAAGGTGCACACACACACACACACCACTGTCACACCACCCACTGTCGCGCCTCTGCTCCTCGGCGTTCTTCTCGTCCTTCTCCTGTGCATCCTGGAAATACGCGGAAACACATCCCGTCTGCAAGCAGCAAAATACCCTGCGACCAATAGTCATGATGATTGCGTTGAACCCTTATTGGAATGCTCAATCTGACCCATATATATAATGTGTATCGTATATATGTGATTATAAATGTTTGTTGATGTTTGTTGTAACTATAGCAACTGGTAAAGCAGACTGATTCGGTTTGTCCACGGCATCCAAGCCTAATCCTAAGGCCCTAGGGGCCGGGGCCCAGGAGGAAATCCCATCGCAGTGCCTTTTTCTCTGACCCGGGTCGAATGGCACGTGGGTCGCACTGCTTTCCACAGCAAGCCACATGGATGGACCAGGGTCCAGGGTGGGTGTCCTTCACCCCGAAAGGGCGTGGAAGTCTCGGTCTCGGTCGGGTGGGGGAGGGTCAGAAGACCAGGGGCCAATTCGCACGGAAGACCACGCGCAGACCGGGTGATGCCTTCGGAAGGTCCGGAAAAACGTACCAGTTCCACTCCCTGGGACAGTCCTGCGCTAAAAAACCCTGACCACCATCAGACTGCCACCCACACAAATTTCCCCCTCTTTCTGAGCAAATTCGTTGGTGGGCACGTGGGCAGGTTGGCAGGCCCAATCAGTTCTTGTTTTTGCATCCTGGGGAAGAAGTGGATCGTAGCTACCCTAGCCCTAGCGTTCCAAGATGGAAGCATGCTGACCTGGGTTTTGTAGCAAAATGTTCTAGTAACATAAAATCATGCTTCTTTGGTGAAACCCTAGACTATACTCCATTCCGTTCATGGTGGGTGGAATCCAACGTAGGCTAGTACCAGTCTGGTGCGCGTCTCACCTGGAGCACGATCTGCGCCATGCACTCGGCATGCACAAGTCGATGATCCTCGAGTTGAGCGAGTCTGGAACTCGTCGTGCAGTACGTACATCTGTTGGCAAAAGAGGGTGCTCAGATACTATGGAGACATATCAAGACGCATTTGATATAACATCCAATGGGTTGTGGAGGAGGGTGCTGATATAACAATTGATATACGTGATATAACCCGTTTGGGCTCCTGGCCGCGCCCTCCGTTTCAATCATGGTTGGGGTGGGTGCCACGGGGTCGAATGTCACCTTCTGAGGAGATGGGCCAGGAGCCCTAAGTTGTTGTTGATTTCCGCAACGCTCCCATCTTCTTTTCTACATCCTAAGTGATGGAACTTTGGCACGGAATAATCGATCCACATATATCCACATGACATACCATCCAACCGCGCTTCCATCCCTATGGATCCACATAACTTCTGAGATGGTGATTGGAGACTATTTGGCTTGGAGGTCCCAAGGTATGTGGACCCTAGAGCATGGGTTTAAAGTTCTAAACTTTGATGCTAAGACCAATATAAAACAGCTAAAACTCCAATAAGCATGGTCTTAATATATTGGTCTTGATAATTAATATATTAGTTCCCTCTCCACATAGGACAGTGACAGATGTGGACAATTCTCGGACCCACATCTGACGGTGGACCCTCAGAATGTGCGGTCGCGAGCGCCAGCGCTTGCGCTGCCGTGATGGTTCTAATGAATGGGACCAAGGGGAGAAGTCTGGATTAGGGAATCAACTGGGGAATCTGACAAGTGATTATATCGAATAGGTTCCAGCTATACCCAGTTCGGGTCCAGGTACCTCCTTTTCGGATGGTCTTGGAGGTGAGTACGTACTTAGAATGGTCTAGTTTGGGACCAAAGGATGTCCGATTCGGATATCTCAGGATGGTCGTGGACCCTTAGGGATAGATCATGGTTGATCATAGTTGATAGATGTTGATAAATCAGAATGGCTGTGGGTCATGGCACTTGGAACCACCAAAACATCCCCCAGACCGCAGGTTGGCGTCCCACTTATCCGGGTCGGTGAGGTCGGAAAAACTTTAGAGTTCCTTTTCAGATGGTCCACCGATCGGTTATTCCGTGACCCATGACTGATCTCCCCCCCAGCTCCAGGAAGCTCCAAGACCTGTGGGGCCTCAGAGGCCTTTCTCCGCGGAGTCGTCGACCCAAGCGACCAGGTTAGGTGTCGACCCCTCCCAGGCGATGGTTGAGGGTGTGCCGGCGCGCCACCAAGCCACACCCACAGGGCTGCTTGAAGTCGGGTTGCCCTCCCCGACGGTCGTTCTCCCCACCCGACAGCTGTCGTCCTTCTCCTCGGGTCTGTAAGCGGTCTCCCCAACCGGAAGGCCACACTGGCAGCAAAGGTGGACCTCCTCCCCATCGGAGTCTACCTCCTTAGTGCGAGCCGCAGTTGGAGGGGGAGGAATATGGGGGAAAGGAGGAAAACATCGCTGGAGAATTGGAAGTTCTGAGTGTGGCAGGACATGGAGGGTTTGGATGGAGGTTCGTGAGCAAAAAGTCTGCAATCTCTAAAAAGGCCTGAAGCAACCCTAGGGATCCACTGCCACCTTCTCAGAAGGTACTTGGGCCCTCCTGGCGCCTAAATAAATAGTCTCCAATCACTGTACCTGAGAAGGTAGGACTGGATCCCTATAGGGCAAGAAATCCAAGTGAATTCAATCTCCAAACTCCATCTTCGAAAAAGGACAACACCCCAGCTGAATCACTCTCCGCCTCAAAAGTCGCGCAAAGCTGCCCGCCCAACTGGCGCGTGAGTCTCTTTGCATTGGGTTGGCATCCCATGGATGATGAAAACCACCGGTTCCAATTGACACCCTGGTTCTTGACTAAGAACCAGGATCCATGGGATCCAGAACCTTTTTGCGGATCAAACTTGAGGCCGAGGGTAGGTGACGAAAGCTGGCAGGGATGCATCCGTGTCAGTGGAGGAAGCATACAGCGCCGTCCAGTGATAAAGGATTGGTGGGACATCAAGCGGAGTGAGGCAATATTTTTTCATAGGCATGGGGCTGTTGGAGGGATGATTCACAAGGTCTCGCTCATGAGGTAAAACGTTGTGAACATGTAAGACACAGGGACAGCAATGACACAGCCAACCATAGCTTGTGAATCTGTTGAATCTGTTGCATCGTATCCCAAAAACCTCCACGGAGGAGTTGAACAAAAGTGGAGGCGTCCCAGGGGGGAGTTGAACCCGCGGGGGGGGGGCCCTCCACATATGAAGTTTTTACGTGATGCGGCGATCTCGAGGATTCCAGCCCCTCACTTGCTAAAGCAAGGATAACTCCAGCTAGCTGATGCTAGCTTTCGTGACAAACACTGCCGTACCGTCAACTCTTCTGGGCACTTGATCTTGTATAGTGCCTTTGCTGGTCGGTGTACAGTACCTTTTTCTGGCTCTCAAAGCGCACTCGCAGCCGGTGCATGCTCTTCGAGCAATCACGCCATGCTCCAAAAACTACTGGCCAAGGGTCTTTACATAGCCAATGCCAGCGACGGCACAGAACAATTTAAGATTCGTAAGGTCTTTTACCACCACAATTTTTGTGTTTGTGGTTGTCAAGCTTAAATGAACTTCCATGCGATAGCCCCAAACTGTTGCAGAGATCACTGTGAGTTGTGACCTTGCGGTTTGTGGTGCTGCGGAAATGTCAAGTTGACACCACAAACCGTTCCGGTGCTTCTCAAACCATTTTTTCAATTCTTTGGTGCTCCAACCTTTTCGTCGGTGAAAGTCTTGGACTTCTTTGCCCAAGGCATAGCCCTCAGCAGACGCTTGTGCCGAGGCCATTTCCAGAAGCTTATCCATACATGCTCTTTTTTCTTCTTTTGACAGACCGCGTTCCAAATTGGGATGGAAAATGCTGTAGATGTTGTCCATCGCACGCAACTGAACACTCCTCTCTTCCGTGGCCCATCTCCCTCCTCCAGGGAGCCTCTGCATGCTGCACGGGGCAAAGGCACTGTGTGGTCCTTCTTCAACCAACCAAATTCCCATCAAAGACACCACCAAAGCTTGGGACCAGGTTCGCTGCGTCAGGGCCATCGCCTTCGGAACTGGACTATGGATACTATGGATACGCTGGTACGGTACCTTGAGAAGACAAGCACGAACATCAACCAACCAAATTCCTATCTAATCTACTACCGATGCATCCCCACAGGTGACTAACACTTTTGGTTCATGCCCAACATAGTCATGAAGCACTCCAAACAAAGATCTGGCTTAAATCTATTTGGGGCTTGAGTCCCGATGTGCCTGCTTGAGAATGACTCCAGCAACTTCTTGCGAGCCCTATGTCCTGAAACCCTTCGTGTATAGTTATCCATGTGGTTGCACATGATCTTTCAGCTGCACTTCGCTGACACTCCAGGTCATTCTGCATATAAAACCTCTCAAACCTACCACACGGACTTGGAAAACCAGGAACTTTCTCGGCTCTCCTTCCACTCCCACCACTCACGGCTACCAAGAAGCGCTGTCCTTCTTAGCCTTACGAATGCCACGGTTGGGCGCTGGCACCGCCATCTCTTTGGTCAAGAAGTCCTGCTGCGCCACCTGACGACAGCAGCGGCATCACGACTGCACGAGGAATCGGTGGTGTGTCCGGTGCGTCTGGTGCAGTGGACTGGGTTCGTCGAGTCCATCGTCCGAACGATGGAAAAGCGGCCACATGGCTTTATACATGAAAGGCCACATGCTCAACCAGACAACCAGCAAAAGGGCAGAAAAAAAATTGCACAGTTGGAAAATCCAGGTATATCATGAATCTGTAAGCGTGATGTATACCACCCCATAATTCAGCACATGTCATATATATATATATGCATGGTTTGGCTGGGAGTTGGAAACACGTGCCTGATGTTCTTGTTTTTTCTTCTCCCCACTGCTGTTGTTAGGGATTGTCGTCGGAGTGGTACCTCGTGAAGTAAACTCACAGGCTTCAGTATATTCTTGGTTGATCTGATTGGGATGCACAATGCACATTTCACGACATCTGAGGGAATCAAAACGGGTGATCGCCAATAGTCCAAAATTCTACAATTGTCCCAAGAAAACAGCGCAAAAGTGTATAGAGAATGGCCAAGTCCAAATGAAGATCCGAAAGTGGCGATTCGGGATGTAGGGGAGGGCCGCTCCAAAGGCAACAACTTGTTCCAAACTCTCCAAAGGTTGCATGGGGTCCGCAACCAATGTTGAGAGTAAATCGATCGCGATCGACACATGAGCGGCCGCGAACAGAAAACCAAGCTTCATCCGCCACCAATGGCAAGTTCCGTCAGTTCTATGGCACTTGTTTTCTTATACGAGTTCCCTCCACAGCAGGTAATGACCGAGCACAAACGTCCAGTTAGACAAATTCAGCCATTCCGCCAGCACCCGCGCTATAGCGGCCAAATTCCCGGCCGCGCCTCCCCGCGCGACTTGGGCGTGAACCAGGGGAACGCCTTCCTTAGAGCGAGCGATTTCAGCACGCCTTCCGAGAGCTAACAGCGAGTGAAGCGAGTCACCGCTGCGATGGGCTCGTGGGAGGGCCGTTTGAGCTCCAGGCCGATTTTTAAAAAAATGAGCAATGCCAGAACAAATGCCGAGAGAAGTCTGGCTGTTTTTGTTGCAGAGCTGTTTTAAGCTGTTTTAAGAGGCTTGTGGATTGGTTTCGACCACATACAACATGGTAAACTGATATAGGTAGGGACCTGTAGTTGATTTTCCTTTCCAGCCCTTTTTCCTTCCTTCACCATCCAACCAAGGCACCTGTTGTAGCCTGCGGGAAGGCGGGAAGAGAGAACGGAGCAAGAATGCTACTAGGCCAGATATTCATGTACCTGCTGAGCTCCGTTGAGATCTACCTCCTGAGCACCAACTATGTTCTACAGCAAGCAATCCATGGATTTGGAGAGTTCCGGAATTGGAGTTTTCAAGCTGTCATTGTAACTTCAACAGGTTTGCTTTCACGACTTACACTCCCATGGAGGTGCGGTGGGGTTTCCATTCTCTTCACTAGAGGAAACCATCGAGATTTCCCAAAGGCCATGCCATCCACTTCCATGTGATGTGCCTACAACCCGTTTGACCTCTGTTGTGATAGGAACTTGGACCATGTTTTGGCTCCAAAACAGGGGTCAATCAGGTTCTATAGGTGTTCGAAAGGGTTTGGCTCACTGAGATCCGAGCTTTTTCCTATACCCACATGAGACGGAACAAAGCGTCCCATTCTCTTGGACTCTTTTGGACTCGCTCAAAGAAGGGTGACCAGTGACCTTCCGCTCTCTGCTCTCTCCCACCAAACGGAGAGGTCCGGTGGTTTGGCCTCTCTTTAAGGAGTTCAGTGGTTTGGCTCCGTGTTCGGAGGGTGGTTTGGACCCGACTTGCCTCATGGCACCTAAATAGGGTCGACGAACACATGCACCCTCTCAGCAAATATGTGGATCCATAGAGAAAGGGATCATGGTGAGACCCAAACCAACATTTGGCTCGTCTCTACCCATCGTTGAGTTGGCCAGGACAGCTTGTTGAACGGAAGAAACCAAGCCAGGCATTTCAACCCTGCAAGCGCCAATTGTTCAATCCAAATTTCACCCCTCCAAGAACCACTGCACTTACAGCTTGACTATATACAGCTTAGTATATCAGCCAATCATGTTTTCTATCATCTACGGCTTCCTCCAAAGAAAGACGCCGAAGCACCGGCCCTTCACCACCGGACCCTTCCACCACGCGGTGCGGTCACCGAAGCACCGCGCCTCGGTAAGCGCCGTCCCGGTCCTCGGCGAACTTGGCCTCGTAGGCACGGAAGGCCTCCTGGCGGAGGTCCGTTCCGGGCGGCGAAAGGCGCGAAACGCTTAAGACGCTTGGAGGATGGAAGTGATGTTGAGAAAAAAACACTCAGAACTCAGAACTCGATTTGGATGATGGGTGGTCCTCGATTTGGATGGGTGGTCATATAGGATTCTATGTCGGAAGTCACGTTGGATATGGTCACGTTTTTTCAAAGGCCCGGTGGGCCTGGTGGGCCTGGTGAGAATACCGTCCAAAGGGTCCATCTTTAGGACGTTCGGAAGTGAGGCTTTGGGCTTTGGGTGTATACCACAAGAACTAGGATGGGCTGAGTCTGAAACATCGTAAGGGCCACAGAACTTGCAGATGGTCAAAGTCTTTGTCTTTTCTTTCCCCCCCTAGCTAACTGGGGTCTGGAAGTCCAGTTCCGTTTCTCTTCGACGTATGAAGTTGGGATGAAGTCTTGCTACCGGACTGCACCCCTGCAGGTCTCCACTCGGTGGGTGAAAGTGGTCTCCCAAGCTCTCAATCCATGGGAGTAACCTCCGTTGTATTGAACCCACCAATCAATTAACAATCTAAGAGTCTAAGACATATATCTTGGGTCTATCCTATTGCCAGGGCCCACTGGGTGGTGGTTAGGTTGCAGGCCTTGTTCAAAAAAAAGGCCTTGGTAGAGGCAATAGTGGACCAACCGAACATATCTCTCTCTAGATGCGGGGAGACCCCCCAAAAAAAAGAGCCTGAGGATGTCAGAGCGCGAGCGCAAGCGCTGCCGGTTTCCGTTTCCACCAATGTCCCCAGTCCTTCTCTTCCTCAGTAGGCTCTTTCTCTTCCATCTTTTCGATCTCCACCGTCTCAACCTTCTCCTCAAGGATCTCCTTCACACCTTCCATTCGACATGTGGCACGTTGCTTTCGCACGCAGTGCGAAATCGCACGCAGTGCGAAATCGCCTTTTCAGCTTGCAACATGCGCGTTGCTTCATGGTGGCAGTATTGACTTGTTCGATCACATCCAAGGACCAAAATGACCCAAAGTAGGGAATCTAACCCACCATCTCAGTTCACGTTCAGAACATGACCTTGTTATATAGTTTTCTCACTCTTGTCACTCTTGTCAAGACCTAACAAAAGACATATATCATATTATCATCATACAAGTTTGCAAACACACTGAAACGGTTTCTACAATATAGCTATAGAACATCATCATATAGTCAAACATGCCGGCTCTTGAGTTCTGAACTGGGGAACCCTCTCCTCCAGTTCTGCATCCCCCCCCCCCCTAGTCCTTCGCTCTTCCGGTCTCACCGCCCTCCACCGGAGTCGCGTACGACCACTGCCCGGTGGCGCACGACCGGTGGCGCGCACGACCGGTGCCCGTCCGGCCACCTTCAGAGTCGCGACTCTCTCCCTCGCTGGTGGAATCCTCGGAGACCGCGGGCAGCTCCGCCTCGGCCTCGTCTCGTCTCGGATGGGTGGGACGGATGGGTGGGACGGGCCACGTCTCGTCGTTCTAGGAAGGGTGGAGGATTCTGGGATTCATGGGGTGGTTTTAGATGCCATGTTTATAGCAGCTTTATTATATATATATATAAAGATGTATAAGGAGATATAAGGAGTAGAGATGTATCACAGCTTAGAAAGTATAGGGATTGGTGAGATCTATCACTGCTTGCTGATGATGATTTGCCTGCAATCTTTTGGGATGTCTTGTGACTTAGCCCAACACAGGAAGAAGGTTGAGGACGTAGTGCTGGCTGAGTTTGTTGAACATCATGGGTTTGGTCGGTTGCTGATACCTTCTCAAGGAGCGCCCTTGCATTTCAACAGAATTCGTTTTACTTAGTTTGCCAACTTGATCTCTTCTCACATTCAGTCAACTGAGATCCTGGAAAGTACAAACAATCCTGTTCCGACAAACTCACCACCTGATGTTCGCACCCAGCTTTCTCCGAACTCGCAGCCACCAACGCCCGCAACCCGACGCTGGCTGCGAGGCGCTCCCGGCGCCTTGCGTTCGGCCAGGAACTGAGCGAAGCGGTGGCGGCGGGGAATCTCAGCCTCGGCGCTGCTGGCTTTAGAAAGCGGGTGGGGCCAGCGGCGAAGGGCCTGGAAAGCCCGAAAAAGTGGATTCCGGTGGATTCTGGTGGGCGGTTTCCACTCAGTTGAAAAGAAAGAACATGAATGCAGTGAGTTCATTCATCCCAAGCTAAGGTTGAAACAAGCATGTTTGACATTGTTTGACATATTCTGAAAGCACCACACAGCCCTTTAATTTCAGAACACCAACTGCACTCGGCAGATTGGTTCCTTTGCGATGTAAGGAAGATGATGTAAGGAAGACTCTCACCAAAGCAACAAACCGGCGTGCCGTCGGACACATACGCTTGCAAACCAAAGAAAAGCGTGCCGTGCCTTTGCGACAAAGCATGGGGGGGTTTCGGCTGCAATTCAGCTGCAACTCAGTTTAAGCTGCATCTAGCAATCTCAAGCTTGCCTTTAGGACAAGCACTTGTCGCTTTGAGCCCTCGCTATTAGGTTTGGAGGCCATCGCTATGAAACGGAGGAGGCCGTGGCTGACTCCCATTGGCCCATTGGACTCCCCGAACGACACCAGAACGTCACCAGATGATCGGCAGCCCAGATGGACTGCAGTTGGCAAATGGCCAGCGATGTTTGTTTAATGTCCCTTTCAAGGCACCAACAAGACGCAGGCGCAGCACCTATAGGTACAAAATGGTGCTAACATGTGCAAACATTGTGTTACACATGTGTGAATGAACCCAGAAATTAAAGATCTCCTGCTGTATCTACGTCGACAGTTTTTGGTTGATCCTTTTGAGAAATTTTGAATCATAGTGGATTCCAAACCCACACACACATGTCTCAATTTCACAGAAACAAAGGATTATCAATTCACGAGATTCCCCACCATAGCCATACCCTTTGGGGGTCTTTTCTGTTAAACCGAGTCTAGTTTCCAGGTTCGTTCAAGACGCCGGGAGTTCTTGGCTCCCGCGAACCACCAGGTCCGGTGGCCCTCTCGGATCCCCGATCTTAAGCTTCAGACCATGGTGGACATTGCCTCAGCGGGTGGTCGACATGCACCAAATGGGCTTACATAAATCAATATGGACGACCCCGCGGCCCCACTGAGTAGACTGGGACCCCTTTCCCTTACCTTCCAGGGGCTGAAACTGGGAGGTCTCCCGAGCTACACAGGTACCCCAAATGGGTCTGTTTCATGATCATGAGGAGCCCTCAAGGTGGGTCAATTAGATGGGACCTCGTGATAGCCAGGTACCATCCACCTTGAGTGCGAGTACATATTGAGAGACTGAGAGAAGAGACCCACTCCCAAACGCTCCAAAGCAAATATGGCCTACTGATGTTTTGTGGTGGTAAATGTAGGCCATAGTCGCTTTGATGGAGCCTTTGGTGCTGTGCCTGCTGTGACCGCGCCATTCACCACCAAAACAGTGCCATTCAGAAGGCGATATTTGCACGTCGCGTCTGGGGCTTGCATTGAAGGGTCGTTGTGCGGAAGGTTGCAAGTACCATGGGCCAGCTACATGGGCCAGCTACTCAACCTTGCAACTTGTGAATTCTTCAATTCCACTAATCCACTGGACCCTACTCCACCTCCTCACGTGAGGAGCATGAAGGCGCCGAACACCAAAAAGGAGGCGTAGTAAGCAGCCATGCCACTACTATATAAGATTGCTTTCATCCACCGGTTTCACCGGCACTCTCAAGCGACTGGAGGTGCTGCTTATCGATTGAAGGGTACCTATAAAACAACTTCTTCCATGTGGACTCGCTCCTAAGTCCTTGAACCAGGCCCTTTCTTGGTCAAGAGCGCCATTCCTTTTTGCCGCCCCGCTTCGGTTGGTCGAGGCGTTGGCTTTGGGACATCGGACATCGCTCGGACATCTTGGATGCCAGGCGAGGACGATGGAGTCTTCGACTCATAAGTCTAAGAGGTGTCTTCGACTCTGTGCTTACTAGAATGTCAATGAATGATTTGGTAGAATTATATAGTTCATTATATTGATTCTATATAGTTTCGAGTTAGTTTCGGAGTAAGGCTTCATCGTACATGTGCAGAGCTTGCGTTATACATATCCATGAGCATTGAAGGAAGGAGCACAGTAGTCACGCACGCGAGCGAAGCGCCTGCGCCGCCGGGAACCGCGGAAACCGCGAGCGAACCGCGGTGCGACTCAGCTCTCGTCGTAGAGCACGCCGATACCCACACCGAAGCCATGGTTCAAGGTCGCGTGGCCCCAACCATCCGGCAGTAAGACCTCAGTAAGAAGGTGGAGCTCCACCCATCTCCTGTTGGCTCCAACCCGCCAACCATGTCCAACCTAGGCTCCAACCACCTCCAGAGAAGATAGTTGGGGTGGATTTTTTTGGGGGGGGTCGAATACCACCTTCTGAGGATATGGGCCAGGAGCCCTAGAGTAAGAAGGTGGGGAGAGCGGAGAGCGGAGTGTTCTGCACTGCGGAGAGTGGCTGCACCACGCTGCTGCTGGGGTGACTCATAGGTTCTGGATGGAAATGTCATCGTTGGAGGAACCGCTGATTTTCCACTATTGTTGGCCACTTATCGCACAACCTGTTGGATATGTACCCAGTCAGGTACAACCAAAACGTGCTCTTCTACTGCTAATGAAATTATGTTTCTGGAATTCAGCACTTCGATCCATTTCTTCTAGGCAAAGATTCTTTGACGCTTCATGACCCTGGTGCTGCGCAGTGGCTAAATCCCCCGCATATTGTGTGCAGCGGAAGAGATGCTGCTCGTTGATCCCGGGCCTGGTGCACACAGCTCGGCGGACAGGGGTCTGGCTTGGACTTCGATGCTCCGAAGGATGGGGCTAATGTGGACTCGATTTCCGACGCGAAGGACGGCAGGTAGGACATGCATGGGTCATGATGGGCCTCCAAAAGCTCTAACATGCTGTTGTCATTCGGAACATCGCGTCAATACACTCCAAAAAAGGAAGCTCTCGCTCCAAGAACAGCAAGAGGAAAGGAGTCCCAAGAGTGGACTCTGTATCCCTTGAAAGATGGTAGTCTGCAAATGTCTCCAGTACTTGCTGCCTCTGAAAAGGTGTGTGAATTGCTACATCAATCCTATTATATAAATGATATATATATATACACAGTATATTATATATATTAGAAGAGAAAGATCTGCAAGGCATAAAGAATGTACTCCCAAGGAGAGTCATGTCTGCAACGGATCACTTTGCTTGTACATGTTTGAACTCTCTAAACCCGCACACCATGTGCGGTTGCTGTAGCTGGAGTCATCTCTATGGATCCACTGGACCCTCCAAGGTACGGTGATGTGTTCAACACTCTTATGTAGGTACCATCCAATCACCGTACCTCAGAAGGTGGTAGTGACTGGTAGTGGATCCATATAGGGAATCATGCTTTCATCGCCATGTGCAAGTGACTATTCCTGAATGACTTCCTGAAACCTGACTGAAATCAGAACAATTTCGCCCACACCACCACCACTACTCCCACCAGTCCCTGTTGTTCAACTGGTATACACCAGGTCTGACTCACTTACATGGAAGTGGACAACATTGGACAACTACATGTTTGCAGTAGAACATATTGTTCTCAAAGGACCTGTGACCTCTTCATGACAGGTTCCACATCTTCTCCACGAGATACCCTGGTCATACCCAAGGGGGGTTGTGGAGCTCATCTGTAGACTGCAAGTGTTGCCTTCAGTGGAAAGTGCTCATATGAAGGTCATGCTCATGCATGTTCCACTTCTTACGCCACGCAGCGAGTCGGAGTGTAGATACCCCGGGAACCAAACAACCCATGCTTGAATGGTCTTTACCAAAGAGTCATTGTTTTGCGCAGGATTTGTACACTACACCACCAGGTCAATCATGTCTTTAAATGGTGGTCTTTGAAGCCCCGCAGTAGTAGCCAAAGCCATCTCTCAACCGACATACTGACCAAACCACTTCACCGTTCACGGACACCTCAATGCCGCCCCAAAACCTCCGGAAAACCTCCGACGCCCGAGCCGTACTGATACCGTCCCGTCTCGAAACCACGGACACCAACACCGACCGACCATGGCGCGCCGGTGGAAGAGCTCATAGGTGGAAATGCCACTGCGTGCTGCCAGGTAAGGCGGCGTCCTAGGCACCGGACTGAAGGCCGCGAGGAGGAGGGGTTCGCAATAGACGGAGACGGTCGTCTTGGCGGGGTCTGCTAAGCGACGTGCTAAGCGATGTGCCGATGTGCCGATGTGCTATAGCGATGTCTTGTTCTGCTTCCATCACAGAACAACATGAAAGCCACGGTTTCTTAATTTCAGGCCATTTTGTTTGAAATAATCAGATGTCAAATTAATCCAAGTTAGTTGATACTGTGAGCCTCCCACCTCAGTTTGAAGCAAACAAAGGATAACAAAGGTGGTGATGCCCCACCCCTTGCAAAAACCAAAAGCAAAAAACACAGCATTTCTCTGGGCCGCCTGGGGGGGGGTCTTTCACCTGGACGACTTGATGACGCAAAGCTCAATGGACCCAGCCGAGAGACACATACCACTCCTAGCCGCGTGGCTTCGCGCGCGCGAACGCTTGGCGAACGCGATGAAGGCACATATGGCTTGGCGCTTTCACGGTCGTGCCGGTGGTTCATATCGTGAAGATTCTCAGGTTCATCGGGGCATAGCATTATTTTGTGCATCTTCGACATGCATGTTTGGACCAAATATACCGGTGATGCCCCATGGAATGGGGAATGAATGAGGTGCAGTATTCTTCTGAATTTGGCAGCGATCCCCAAGCTCCAACCAGCACGTGTGACTAGCCATGACTTCAATCTTGCATCTTGGCACGTCAAAAACCCTGAGTGAGCTTTTCAGGATCTAGTGTTCGGCAAAACAAAGAAGGGTTAAACCTGCTGCTACACACACTCCAACAACACCCTGAACCACTAAACCAAAAAAACAGAAACGTTTTGTCTTGGGCACTCCTTTATCCTTCTTCCACTTCTTCTAACCAAAAGGCTCGGTCAAACCAAGAGGTCGAAAGCCTTTGCCCATCTCAAACCCCTGCCAAATTCTCCGTCCTGTCATATTTGGATCTTCCAACTGTGCAAGATTTTTTCTGCCTTTTCATCTCTAAAATCAACCCAGTTCGGCTGATCGCTTTCCACATATGAAACATGTTGCCAAATGTTTGCTGAAGGGATTGAGGGATCCATAGATCTCTTTGACTTTCTAACTATGCCACCAAAAACAACGTCGGCCTTTTCATTTCTGAAACCAGCCGTTGCTTCGGCAGATCCAGGGAGACTCCCATCGCCTTTCCACCAGCTTTCTCCCCCCCTCCCCAAACACCCAACACCAGCGGTGGCCTTCTCACCGATGAAGAGCGCATTGAAGGCGCTCACGTGGTAGTGGAGGGCTGCCCCGGACTGGTCGCCGCCCCAGAAGTATTGCTTGGACAAACGGTTGATGCGCGGAAGCAACTCCTCTGACGGACGGTCGACCGGATCGTGGAACGGGTGAATTGGATGGAGAAGGAAGGAAGGTGTTCACTGACCCAACTTGGTGGTTTCCTTAAGTTGAGGCATCTCTGGATGGTTTGTCACAATCTATAACATACAAGTTGACCAGGCATGATACTACAGTTATCTACAGTTGGGTAATTACCCAGTAACCCATGGTTGTTTTGTGAGCCGCACATATTTACCATCCTGACTGCCCTCCACCAAACTCCCATCAGGGCTGGAAACTCACCAGGAAGTGTGGGATACCGACAGTGAAAAACACGCACAACTGGGCGTTAGCACAGGACTCAGGACGTTACTTTCGGTGGGCAACCGCTTGGTACAACACGTTATATATTAGACTCCTGTTGCATCTGAAGCATGTCTGACTCGTAGCGTTGGTATTTTTCTGGCAAAACAACACCATCTTGATCATCTTGAAAGACAAACTATTTGCCAAAAAAAAGCACTGAGCATCTCCCAAGACAAATGGCTGATGTTCATGGACCACCCAAAGTAGTACGATCTGTCCATTGTTGACTAAACAAACCCGACCTTTAACTTTAGGCGCTTTAGATACGACGTGAGTCCAAATGACTCATTAGAAGTTTAGGGGATACGTGAAGCCATCGAAAACACCGGTCCTTGACCTTTTGAAAGGTGGGCGACAAGGTGAGGTCGTCGGTGAGGATGCCTCCGGTTCGCGAACAGATTTTCGCTGTGGCTGTGGACGGTAGAAAAACAAGTTTCTTGCAGAAACAGACTATACATGTTACATGGCATGCTGAACATACAAATTCACTTGGTGTTTCATGCGTCTACTTCCATCATCTTCCATCCTGCGGACTTTTGGGTTGCTCGGCCTAAACTTGTGGGGTCATTCCACTGAGAGGTGGGAGAAACACCGCCTCCAACAGTATACAAAAAGAGTGCCGGCTCGAATCCATCTCTATTATGTTGCCCTTCCTGAAGTCTTCTGGTCATTGGCCTATTAGAATCTACCTAAACAGTCCGGATTTACAAAGGTGTAGCCTCATCCAAGGCTACACATCCGGATTCACATGACCTGGACTGTCCTTCAAGTCGAGTGGTGGCACCAAATCGACCGGTGGCCATGGTGGCCATGGTGGCTCATGGCCATGTGTCACTCGATTTATCCCAGATATGATTAAGACTCCCACATACTGCAGACTATCCCTGGGGCTCCAGTCCTACCTTCTGAGAAAGTGGGCTTCTCCTCGCATCTTTGGCGCTTGCCGCGCCGCGCCAAACGGGATGCACTACTACGCACACTACTACGCGCCCTAGTACGCGCCTGGGTCATGCGAGGCGTGATAGTTGGAGGTGTTCCCATGCCTCACAGTGTTGGCACAGGGTTGGAGTCTTCAAAGCAAGGCATAGGACCCTCAGTGGGATCGAATGATGGATTAGATTTCTAGACTGTCCCTGGTCCATCCAGGTCCCTGACACCCCGCACTCGGTTTTCCTGAAACCACTGAATACTTCTCAAAACTAAAAGAACACGAACAACAAAAACACAATACACCTCACTATCGTTCTCTGGGATTCTGAAGCTTCCACACGCTTCAAACGGCCATCCACACCACACGCTTCATCCGCTCATCCGGATCCTCACCGGGACTGCTCCACCGGGAGCTGCTCGTTTCCTCCGAGGAGCTGCTCGCACTTGGCGCCCTTCTCGGCCTCCTCCACCGTGAACTGCTTCCTGCCCCCCCCCGGTAGCGAAGAACACCCGCGTGCGCGACGCAAGAGCGCGCGAGAGCATCGAGCACCCGCGCAAGTAGAGGACACTCCTTAAGGAATGAATAGGCAAGTACGCGAAGACAAGAATCGAAGTGGGTCCATGGTCACTTGGAAATGGCCTCCGATTTCGCATGAGCATTTTTTGGAAGACCAAACAGGTGGTGCCATCCACTTTCTATGATTATGCCAGGAAGTGTATGTGAAATGGAACGAAATGGATACAATATTTAGTGTGTGATCAAGGACTTCTCAATGAAAGCTGTAGACCTGAGAGGAGTGCTGCTGTCTGAGTTCATCCAAATGACCCAATGGCACCTAATGATTGGCCGTCCAAGTGATCTTTGATAGAAAACATCCTGAAATTAAGCTAAAACAATCTCGATAATATAAAATATAAGTATCGTGAATGTCCCAATCCTTCAGGGTAATTACAGTCATTACACATGTACGTTAAAACAAACAAACAAAAGGCCGAACATGGCTGATGTTTGATCTGGAAAACAAGATGATCCTCAAATACTCAGCTCAGTGGTCGTATTTTCTTCTGTTTTCACCTATTCTCATCGGTGCCACAGGCACTCGCAGGGCTTGGCGCCGATGAGGTTCGGATAAGCGATGGGGCCCAAGTTGAAGCGCTTCGTGGCGTAGGCCTTCCACGAGCGACGAGCGGTGTGACCGGTGCGATGGATCATGATCGAAAGCGATGGATCCGATCGATCTGATGGATATTGATATAGTTTGGAATGTGACGTCAGCTATGAAGATCAGTGATTGGATGAGGGTTGAAGTTCCCAAAGGCGGTGGTTTCAGGGAGGATTCATGTGGATTCCTATGAAAAGTGTCACTTTGGTATCTAGGCAAATCCCCAGTCAGTAGTCAGTTCCTCCACTGTCTCACTACCAGGATTTCTGCAAGTTTTGTGGTTTGATGTGCTTTGTGGGTCTTCATAGGTTTCGGTTTAGTTCCACGCCATCCCCTCAATCCATAATTACTCTATCTCCCAGTCCAGAAAAGTCTCCCAGAGATCCAATGTGTTCAGCTTTTGTCCCACTCCATCCAGATCCTCCCAGTCTCCCGTTCCTGTAAGACCTTCTGCTTCTGCAACTTGCATCGATCGTCCACGCTCGCCCAGTTGCGCACCAGCACGGGGCGCCCCAAGTCCCGAAACTTATCCTCGCGGTGCCCGGTGCTTCCCGGTGCACTCAAATTGCCAACGCGTCTTGGAGGAACAAAGGCACAATTGCTGTGGCACGCCTTCACCATCTGTATTTGTTCAAACATGTTTAAACAATTTGCATGTAGGGATACACACATATACCTTCTCAGAAGGTATACTTGGACCCTCGAAGCCAAGCCTATCAATAAGAGTGTTTCCTTAAGTCATCCTTTCAAAGGGTATGTGGATCCATAGGGATTCAAACCAAACGGTCAACAAAGTTGCCCATCGATCACCCATGGGCCACATGGGTAACTTCTACCAAATCACCCTTCAATGCCCAATGCCGTTCCATCCTCCACATTGTGAGTTGGGCCAAAGCACCTCTGAGTCGTCTGCTTGTCTGCACCTGGATCTTCCAACTATTCAACATGTCTGCCGAACTTAGCCAATTTTATAGATGAAAAGCCCAACATGTTGCTCAGGCCATCAAGATCCAGGTATCTCTAGGTCATGTCTATCAAGTCCACAGGAGTCGAAGGGCTCCGTTCCGACCGAGGTCCCGGTGTTCTCGACGGAGCAGCGACCGAGGTGAAGCGCCGTTCCTCGAAGTCTTGCTGTGTCAGGCTGTCGACCACTTCGAAATCCTGGGAGTGAGCAAGCGGTCAGCGGCGCCAGGACTCACTGGTCAGAAGAGCCGATCTCGGTGGAAACAGAAGTGGGGTGAGATGAGGACTCAAGGATACTCAAGGACTGACCCTCTGGACTTTGGATTCTAGAAAGAAGCCGGCAAAATTTATCAAAGGCTTCAAGCTTGAATGGCCCAAAGCGTTTGGCAACATATGTCACTGTAAACTGTAAACAATTGAAACAAAGAAACAGCATCTGTAAGGACGTAGAAATACATTCAAGCCTATTTGATCCTACTTGTCTGGTGTAATTATATTGTATGGCTAAGAGATGCAAAGGCCTGCACTATAGTATGACAAATCGTTGATTCCAAGTGTATGGTATGACTGACCTTGTTGTCCTTTAGCCATGGCCATCCGAGTAGCCTGTGCGCACACATACCCTGGGCTTTACGAAGTCTATCTTTGTTTTCACAGTTGCTAACTTCTAACTGGTTGCCCCTATGTAGGTGCCCATGTCAAGTCAATTTGGATCAATTTATGTCAATTTGGATCAGTCCTAGCTTGGATTATGGAGAGTGCCATTTCACCTTGGGGTTGTCGAACCTTCGTCTGTATGTATTTGCTACTTTGAGACCGGTTTAGTCCGACGAGGCATTCCCCCTTCCGTCATGCAACGGCCTCGTTAGGCCCGGCTGGTGATATCCAGCCATTGACTAGAACACGTTCAAGCAAATCAAAGGGCATCTCCGATCTTGACATTGACACCTTCCAAAAGATCCCATCGGCCATCATCCACCAGGGCACACAGGCGTAGTAGTGGTCCCAAGCGGTCTCCTCATGAAAATAAATGGTCACAGCTGCTCCTCCCACAACATCCTGCGGTTTTAGCATCCTCCAAAATCCTGTTTAAGTGAGTTGGTAGCAACACCAACTTTGCATGGTCTGATCCTGAAACCACGCGTACTTGCTTCTTGAACTCAAAATATTGGAGAACTAGAGTTAATGATTCTGGAGTTCAGTTTTTGTGTGAAGGGTGATCCGTGGACATTCTTAGGCATCCCTTGAATGGTCCTGGATCACGCCTCTGATGAAGCTTTAATGCATCTCGTTCAACCGAACTGTGCTCCTCGGTCCAGCCCAAGGAGAGCTCCGGGAAGGACTCGCCATTGCCTCAAGGGAGGGAGCGGGAGGGATGAAGACCATTTCAGTCAATTGTGGAAACCACCAACTGCGCAGTTTCCGACCGATAACATGACCAACAAATACCTGCTGGAATCCACCCAGAGAGGGGGATGAAGACCATCTCTCGTATTGTGTTCAGTCTAGTCTATTAAACCCCGGAATTTGGCGGGCGTGCAAGAGAGCTCTCGTCTTTGCAGCCTCCAAAAGCAAAGTAGCGAGTCTTTAGTTCCGAGGGATCTGTCGGATCTCTACAAGTTGCTTAGTCAGATTTGGGAGAAGAGCATCTCCGAAGTCACCACCATTCTGTGAACCGCTGGGAATTGAGGAGGCGAACTGACCAACATCCTTGGGCACAAATCTTGCACAACAAGAAAGCGGTGCTGTTGCAGAAGCGGTGAGCAAACATCAAATAGTCCGCAGTAGGTAGCAGTATTTAGAATAAAATATAATATAAAAATCAATCACCATAAATAATTAACCCAAGACATCCAGATCTTTACATATGATCATATGTAAACTCCCTTTAACTTCCTCCCCTTCCCTGGCCCACTCCTCCTATACGCCACTCCTTCCTTCCCCACGGCACGGCACACGTGAGCCGCCCCGTCGGCGGCGGCCGCGCAGTGCGGTGGCGCGCGGCGCCCACGGCGGCGCCCAGCGCGGAAGACCAGGGCCAGTTGTAGACGGGGCTGCCGGGAGCACCTCGGTGGTCTGGCCGTCACAGTTTTTTGAAGGACCACAAGGACGAGCTCTTTGATGGTGGATTTGGAGGCTTGGCTTGGTGGTGATCGGTATCGGACTGCCTTTTGCGAGGAAAGGATATAAGGCTCATGAGGGAGGTGGTGCGGTGCAAATGGAGGTATGTGGTGAAGGTGGTGATCGTGTTGAGGTGGGGGGGGGAGCGGGAGGTGTTGAATGAGAAGCTCTGAGTGGGTTGGGAACACTCGATTGTTTAAATCATAAGACTTGTGCTACCACTTCAAGGAACTCGCTCTGTTGCATCTAAAGCTAAATAAGGCAGGATCAGTGGATCAGTGATTTACTTAATTATGTTCAAACGCGTTTGACTTGCAAAGCTGACCACAAGTTGACGTGGTTATGAGCCCCACTCAGCACAATCTGAAAGGATTGAAATGGCAATCTTCACCCTCCATAACATACGTGTTTCCAGGTGACGACAGGTGCCCATAAACCGCCAACCAACCTTGGAAGGTCGTGGTAGTGAAAAAGGCAGAACTTCGTTCCCTCCCTCCATCACCCCACAAAAACCCGTAGCACGTCGCTCGTTCGCCCTCCCGAGGTGCTCACGTAGTCCAGGACGGTCCGCTGTCGTGTGTCGATGGGCTCACCATGCCGACTGGTAGGGAGGATGGCATTGACCAAGTCCTTGGACCGGTGGACCGAACGACGTGGGTGAAGCCATTGGTGAAGAACATTGAAGAATAAGACTGATGAAGGCACCACCGCGGTGCCCTGATTTTTACTTTTTTTTTTTGTTCAAATGCCTGTTCAAGCTTAAGTTCTTCCTCTGCATCACCTGTCGTTGACACGGGTAAGACTTTATAGCTGCAGTGTTCTTGCATCAACCACAAACAACAGTAGTAGCCAGCCTACAGCAGTCGCCCACTGGCAAATGTCCTCATCTGCCATGCAGCTCCAAGACATGCTTCATGGGTCAAGCACATGGCCCCAAACAAACGATGTGTTTCTTCCACCGACGCCCTCTTTCCACTCCACCCACGCCTGAGGAGTCGAGGGTTGACTCACCTCACTCCCTCCCGTTTAGGCCCAAAAGGCGGCGTGGCCCATCCACACGGCCAGCTGAACCAGATTCTTCCCCACTGCATGGGTCCAACGTCCCGTGAAGCCTCAATGAAGCACGGGCAGTTCACGGTCGGCGCCGGCGTTTGGGTTCCTTTTTCGGGGGGGGTGGATGGGAAGAGGCCACTGTGAGGACAGAATCTTAAGTAGCTGAAAACATACTGTGAGACACCTGTTTAAACAAATGTGCTAAACATGTTAAACACAACTGCAGCTCTATCTCAACTGCACCAAGGAGTTGTAGAGGCTTCAATGTTCAAAGATCATCAGTTCTAGTCGAGGCTTCTTGCGAAGGGTGAGCTGCTTGAAGAGACAGCTTCTGGGTTTAAAGAGACATGCATATCAAAAAAGTTGAAAACTGTCTGCAAACAATCTATAATAAACTAACATTATTAGTAATATTCAAATATTGACATGTTGCGTATCTCCTGTCCTTTTATCACCAAAAACACTTCGAGTCCTCGAGATCCTGTCAACATTTGCGATGAAACCAACCCAAAACGTGACGTGATCTGACACAAGTCCCGAAGAAGAAAAAACATTCCAACACATTCCAACAGTTCTAGCGTAGCGCTCGGAATGTGCTGGATTCGCTGCTGAACGGCTGCAGTCCCCAGGTCTCTTTCGACTGTGACGACTGCTTAGCGCCGAGAGGCCTGTCAACTGGAAGACGGACAATCCCTTCCCTCTCCTGCGCCAAAAAAACGGCGGCCGGGATGGTAAAGAACAGGAACTGCGGAGAGGTCCTGACCCACATCCTATTGTAAAGTGCATTGATTCAATGGGGCCATCAATGTTCGGAAGCAAAGA